GCGGGACGCGCCCTCCCTCCCCTGCGGCCGGTCCCGACTCCGCTTCCTCCAAGACCCCCGTCGCCTCTCACACACAGCGGGACCCTTGGTGGCGAGGGGAGGAAAGGGTTCCGGTTCTGGTTTTGTGTCTTAAAACAGCACCCCAAAAGTTCCAGGATTGCCTTTAAGGTGTTCCATCTCTTTAAAACATCTGACAGTTATACTAACTTAGTTCTTACTCCGGACGCTTTCATTTGATGCTTCTAGAGTTTCGCATTTGTGGCTGGAGAGGAAGAGTATTTTTAACTTAGCCGGGTCGGAGCCCGGGTCAGAGAATGAGCAGTTCTGGGACGCAGGTAGAGCTAGGGCTGGGAGCAGGTGCGAACTCAGATTCCCAGAGTGATCCTGCCGCAGCCCAGTGAGTCGCCTCTTACGAGAAGGGAGACAACTGGTTCTAGCTCCCTTTTCCATCGTATTGATCTCTGATTTGGTCTGTCTTAGAAGTAGGATTAGCACAGTGGTGTTTGTTCCCTGAAGGATATGTGTGAACTCCAGGGCAGTGGGATAATTAGGAACTCCATGGGATAATTAGGAACTAAAGGGTTTTTTTTGTTTGCTTTTTGTTTGTTTGTTTGTTTTGGGCATATCTCTTTGGATTCTGGGCATCATTTGGTTTCAAGAGTTTGGTGGGCAGTCGTTTGGAGGGAGTGCCGTTGAAGCTGAATAGATGACTAGGTCTCTAAGGTGAAGGTCTGATGGGATGGGATGTAGTCACCAGAACCTCTCATGGCTAAATTGAGTTGTACGTTGCTGGAGCAGATGAGTGTGTCTATCAAATTAGCCGATAGAACAATGGGGAACTTCATACCCTGGGTGGAGGTTGACCTGGCCAACCCTCATTTCCTTTTCAGCTCTCTCCAGAAGCGAAGAAAATGTCAGTTGTGGAAATCTTAATGGGTATTTAAATCTGGGCATGGTGGCACGTGCCTGTAATAGCAGCACTCTGGGAGGCTGGAGCAGGAGGATTGCAAGTTCCAGCCAGTCTGGGAAATTTTAATGATTTACTGAGACCCTTTCTCAAAAATAAAAAAGGATAGTGCAAAGGCCCTGGGTTCAATCCCTAGTACCACTGCACCCCAAAATAAAGTTCTGTGTCCTCTAAATAATCTAGATTAGAAATAAAGTTTACACAACCCCCCCAATCATATAGCATTGGCCTCACCAAAAGTGAGAATTCACAGGAACTTGAACAGAAGCTGCCATATTCCCAATGGTTGCTACTTTGGTCTTCTAGGGACTAACTTCAGAGGAAAAAAAGGATCTGGCAGATAACCTCTCCATGGGCTGTTCTCTCTGCCAGGTGGTCTTATTTCCCAGGAGTGTCTCTGGGGAGAACAGGGCAGGGGAAGGGCTCTGTCTGGATCCAAAGCTGTGGGGGCCCCGGGGGAGTTTCTGTCAGAAACGTTGTTTACTGATCCAGACACTGGGTACTTGTTCTCAACAAAATGCCTTTGAGTTCCAGTTTTGCTTAACCCAGCTGTAAGGAGAGAGCAGTTCTTTTTTCTGTGGAGTCAGAGCTTTTGACTTGTCTAAGGAGAAGTGGGGTTTTGTCAGCCTCCCAAGTAACTGGGACTACAGATGTGCACTGCTGTGCCCAACTTCTGAGGAAAGTTTGTCCTAAGAGATGATTTGTTGGGGCTCTCTGCTCAGAAACAGTCTTGTTAGCTCTGAAGGTAAAAGTGATGGCTGGCTGGCTCCAAGACTGTAGTTGAAGGGACCCAGCTGGAGGGTGATGGTAACAAGTGTATCACCTTGATTGCACTTGGGGCAGGCTGTACCTTACTCAGTGCTTTCCTCTGTGTAATGGCATTGGCACTGGGAAGCTGTACTCCTTGCTGCCCAAGACTAGCCACTAGGCTTTTCTGAACTCTCAAGTGACTCACAGGGCCCCTCCCCCTTTTGTGCCTAGTGAGAATGTCACACAACACAAATACCCTTTGGTTTGCTAATTGTTTTACTCCTTGCAATGTAGTTGCACTCAGTGTTAGTTATGTGAATGAATGACTATATAGATAAAACCCTAAGGTTTTTTAGGGTTTTTTGGGGGGGTCCCCCTCCCTCCCCATGCTCTTATCATTCTAACGGCTATTGGATCTCTTCTAGATGTGTTGATCTTGCTACAGCCTTCTGGTTGGTCTCAAGTAGAAACTTCTACCTGAGATTCAAACCATACTCTTAAGTATTAATATTATATATTATCCACTAGAGCCATAGAAAACAGACCTCTTTCAGTTATGGTATCAACTGGGAAATGAAGATATTTGTACTTATAAAAAGTAGGGTAATAAAAAAACTTATGTTACAAAAATTGACCTGTGCTTCAAGGACTTATGTTTTGATTCAAAGAGAATGGAGAGAGGGCTTGGAATTTAGCTCAGTGGTGCCACTACCTGCCTTGCAAGTGCAACCTCCCGAGTTCAATTCCCGGTACCTAAAAAATTAAAAAAGAGAGAATAGAGAGATAAAATGAAAAGCTACCGCCCTCTTTGTAAGAGGAAGCACGGCAACTGGGCTTAGGCTTTTCATCCTGATGAACATAAACACTTTTTATTTTATAAATATCAGAGTGTTCAGCAGGGAGCCAGGGGTGGAACATTGAGGGAAACCTAGGCCCTTCGTGTGTCCTTCTGTAGTGTCATTACAGGGAATGGGTGAACCTGTTCACTGGGATCTAGAAGTCCAATCCGAGTTGCTGTTTCCTGTTGCTGTTGGGTATTAACTGAGATGCTAGTTGCTCTCTTTTTGTATACAGGAGGTGTCTTTCAAATCACCTTTGAACTTTTGCTTCTGCAGTGCTTCCTCGTTCTCATTCAAAACCTTCCTGCCAAGTCCGCAGACAGGAGGCGATCAGAAACCAGAACTCCTTGCCCTACTCATGGAAACTCAGGCTGATCATGTATCTCAGGAACCTCAAGCCCTGCTTGAGAGTGGTGAGGAACAAGGATTTGTTTCTTATTTTATTCAGTCATTCAGCAGTCATCTGGTGAAATTTCTCATTAGCAGGTGTTAGATCAACTAGAATACAGAGGTGCTAAGATGCCCTCCTTCTATTCAGTAACTCACAGTCTCCTGGGGGAGCTGACTGACCCAGTTGTTAATACTCAAGTTGAGAAATTTTGTAACAGGCTTTTTGAAAGGTTTTGGGCACCTCAAGCAGGACTGACAGCTCTGAATTCTGTTTTTCAGGCACTTTGAAACAGCAGACTTTGTAGTCATAGATTGTGCTCTTTAGCCTTTTATACATCATTTTGTAGCTCAAATGCAGAAGGATAAAGTAAGTAGGAAGCCATTAAAATGTATTTTGTTTTTATAGATCATGTCCTTGAGTTTCAAGCTACTTTAATTCTTTTTTTTTTTTTTT